ACATGCTAGGATGTCAGACTGTCTGTACTGAGGATGTTGTTCACTTGAAAGGTTTAGAATTACTGAATAGAAAGGAGTAAGAATGTGGAAGGATCATAGGCCCTGGATACTTCCCTTTACAGAAGTATCAGATGGCAAAAGTCTTGTTTCTTTGCATTTAATCTAACAAAAACAAAACCATACATCAGGGCAGAGGGAAAGGAATCAAACTAATACAACACATTCTAGAAAGCAGCAAACTTTTGTTAGGCAATACATATGCAAATGCAACCATACAGGTTTAAACTCATTCATTACAGGAGTACAGTAACTCTAAAAGTGACACCTCCCTAAGGAGTGGTGACTGAATTCAAAGTTATGAAATCAAACAAGAAATACAGCTTTAATGATCACAGAGTTCCAGTCAAACAGCAGCACTTTCTTCTCTCTGCAAAGTGACAGGCAAGTTGTGTCACTATATAAGCGACACCAGTGTTCATTAGAATTTAGGGTGACAGCCAACAGGTGGAGAACATAAACCTACTTATGGATGGTTCATAAAGGTGGCAAACAAGACAAAAAACATAGCTGCCTTTTTCTGTCAATAATTTGTTATAATTGATACACACCTTTTGAAATTAGTCTATCCCAACTAAATATTCATTACAACAAACATGTCTGTATTTGTAGAGGAAAAAAATACCTCCAAGTATAGAGCTGGCATTTGCCTTGATAATATGAATAAATAAATTACTTGGACTTTTTACTGTTTAACCAGAACTTCCTAGTACTGCCAAGCAAGCCATAGTAACCTGGCCAATGATAATTAATGTAAAAGAGAGAGGGTAGTTAAGCCATTAAGGTTAATAGTGTGCATAGATGCTGCTGCCAAGCGACCCCTGATTACAGCATCCAGCCCTGGCTGCTGTGAACAGGGGTTGCTTGGTAGCAATAGCCCCTGTCCACAGTGGGGCCCAGCTATCCCTCCCCTGCTTTTCAGCTGCCTCCTGTCCTCCCCTTGCTGCCTCTTATAGAGGCAGCAAGGGGTGGGGACTACAGAGAGCATAGGCGAGCGGGGACTGCTTAAGTCCCTGTTCACCCGATGCTCCCTGCAGCACTTCTGATTTTGAAATGTACAAGGGCTCCAGAAGGCTCTTGTACATTTCAAAAGCGGAAGCTGTCCCTGCTCACGCCGTTTTCCGCTGTGCCTCTGCCTCCCCTGCTCTCCTGCAGAGACGGTGCTGGGGGGAACCAGCTTTACCAGTTCCGCCCAGAACCAGCTCCTGCTCCCCCACCCTTGCTGCGCCTCTCTGATAGAGGAAACAAGGGTGGGGGGGAGAGGGAAGAGAAGCGACTAGTCAAGTTGACTATCCGATAAGCATTTGCTTATTGAACAGTCGACTAGTCGCTTACATCCCTACTATGTTGCATAAGGAGCTTTTAGTATTTGAGCACTGTTCACACACACTGTACTCTGGAATCTTTTCACTGTTGCCACTGCCTCCTACAAAAATCAAGATCATCAGATCCAAAACTTTGGGGAAGTTGATATAGGCAGTGGGTCCAGAAATGGACAATGGGACTGAAGGAAGGTACTGACAAAGCAACAGGAAACTTCTAAATATTGACTAGGGACATTACAAGAAAAGAGGATTCTTGGGGTCAGAAATCAACAACAAGGACTGATCAGTAGGATGATGGGTCAATGGGGAAATAAATGAGAGGAACAACTGGAGAGGCTGCTTCAGGTGTACAGAGTGCAGACTGACCTCTATTCTCCTTACTTTTTGCTGCTGAGAGAGATACAGCATAGCATAGCTCTCTAACTCCAGCAATCTCTCTCCACCTCACCCGTCTGCACAAATTAATCATTTGTACAGGGCTCTGGTCCCATTGTACTCCCACCTGCCATTCTACTTCTGGAAAAAGATAATCAATTCTTCCTCATCTATATCTGTGGCACCTTCCAAGCCCAGCTTGTCTCCCAGTTTGTAGACCCTGTGGAGCTAAATTCTCAGAGGAAAATTCTGTAGACTGTCTATACCTCCTTCTGGAACTGACAGCAGATTGGCATCAGACTGAAGCAGCAAGAGAGATGGATTTGTCTAAAAAAACGGAAGGAAGACAATGTGCACGAGCAATTTAAAAGGTTAAAAATAATTGGGTTGCTTTATTTTGTTTTTAAAAGCCCCAAATGGTTCTTTTTCTCCATAACAGCATCTCATGAGGATTTTAAGAGTGCACTCAAGGAAAATAACTATCTTTCAAGCAATTTATTTTAGACAGAGTAAAGATATAACAGTTATAGATACTGTCTGTATTCTGTGAACTATGTTTTTTCCAAAATGAAAAAATCGTTCAATACTGGCACTTTCATTTTGGACAAGTGACGCTACATGAATGGTGCAATCAATTGAAACAAATAGTAATAATGGGGCAATTGATGCCATCAGTATTTAAGCAAAACTCCCCTCTGATTTCAATGGGGAGTTCTGCTTAAAAATGTAACATGATATTGTGGCTAGGAAAAGTAATTGATAGCTTTATCATTTTTCTACTACAAAAACAGGTACTCACATAGAAAATCATTGTAACCCAAGAAAGAATTCACGGAATAGATTCACAATTGATTCCATTCTTGATCATTCAGAAAACTGAGTATTTATAGTCATTTTTGTCCAAGTTCATAGAAATTCAGTGAAAAATTCAAGACAACTCATCCCAGTATGCTGATACAGCATGAAGGAAAGCATTCTGGTTAGTCTAATACAGGCTGAACCTCTGTAAATGGGACTCTCTGGTCTGGCAACATCTGTGGTACAGAAGGACCATAGATGTTCCAGGACCAGAGAGTCCTGGTGGAGGGCTGGGGGCTAGGGTCCCCACCGCTAGGCTGTTTGACAGGGCCATAGCCCAGCATACTGCAGCAGGATTGCCCAGCAGCACTAGGAGCCTGGCACATCCCAGCAGGACCGAGAGCCCAGGCTGCCTCAGGTAGGCTGCCCAGTGGGACCGGGAGTCCAGTGCACTGGTAGCTGGGCTGGGGCTGGGATGCCCGGCTTTGCAGGAAAGGTGGGGGCTTGTAGGGCAACAGAGCTGGTGGCAAGGGTGGGAGCTGGCCAGGAGGCTGGTGGCTAGTCCAGCACTAGGTGGGGGATGGGGGAGCGGGGACAGATATGACCTCCTGTGGTCTGGCAAAATCCCTCATCCAGAACTAGTCATGTCCCAAGGGTGCCAGACCTGCAAGGCCCAACCCATACATTAAAAAGCTATATTTTTTCCCTTAACAGTAGAGGTCATTTATTTGCCAGAGTTAAATTTAACTAAATAGTGATAGCAACAGTAAGAAGGAGATTCCCTTCATCTGCCAGTAGTCCCGCAGCCAGGGGGAAAGCTACCCAGGGCCCCGTAATTCAAAAGGGCCCAGAGCTGACTATCACTGCTGCTACTGTGGCAGAGGCAGCAGCCAGTCCCTGGGCCCTTTAAATCACCACAGGAGCCCTATGTAGCATTGGGAGCTGCCTGGGATAGGCAGAATGCTCCAGGCAGTGCTGAGCTGCCTGGGAGAAGCTAGCCCCATCCCTGCCCCTTCTGTCCGAGTCCCATCCCCTTGCCAGGAGCGCAGAGCCTCCCCACCACCACTACCCCTGCCTTGCCAATGGGCCTGCGAGGCTGTCAGCCCCACTGTCAACCAGACATACCAAAGGCAGATACTGTGGGGAATTTCACAAGATGCACCTCAGTTTTGAGAGGTACAAATCTACTATTCAAATCTTGGAATGTGGCCAAGTGGACTGTCAATTTTTTTTAAAATAAATAATAGGTTTTTTTAATAGTGCTCATCATCATAGTTTCTATATAAACAATAATGGAAATCCTTGCAAAAGAGTTCTGAGGTAGAGAATGTATCATTAGCTTAACTTCTCTCTTCCCCAGTTGAAAAATTAAGTGACCTCTCAAGGTTATACAGCAAGTCTATGGCACAAGAAATAAAACCCAGATTTCCAAATCCCAATCTAACATTTTAAGCACAGCACCAATCTTTTCAACAACACTACAGGAGGTGTTTTTCAAGTTAAGTGGACATCCACTGGGGCTAGCCTGAAACTTAATTCAGATATGAGGTCAATGCTCACTTCCCTGGACCACTTCTACCCCCAGATATATTTTTAGACAGTGTACGAAATAATTTTCAGAAGTATACTTTAGTCAAAGTTTATAGTAACCCCTTTACATTTTAAGTAAGTTTCTTCAACAAAAAGGAACTTCATCCATCACATATGCACAATGATTTGTGACAGTAACTTTGCATACTGGTACCGAAATCATTTTGTATTTTTTAATAATAAAAAAAGCCAGGAACACACATCCAGATTGCATAATGTCTAATAAATTAGAAAGAAAGATCAAATCTTAGACCTAGCAACATTAATTAACAGTGTCCTTCTGATTTAAAAGTATATTGATTTCTTAAGCACCCAATAAAGAACCTTATCAAATGATTATTAAGCAAAGTGCAGATATGAACGAGCTATCAAAAACTATGCAGATACTGTCCCACTTGTGCCTTATTTCAGGATCTAGTGTAATTCTTAAAATGATTAAACCAATTTGGTTTTTTTTTTTTTTTTTGCTTGTATCCACCTTATTTTATCTCCAGACCAAATATTTTCATGGCAAGTGGCACATTCCCAAAATGTTTTCTTCCCAAGTGCTCAGCTATTTGGTAAGAATCAATGTAGCCATGTCTATGTGTAACAGAGAACTGTACAAAATCTTTCTGTAGTTTAATCGCTGAGTCGTATAGCTTATACAACTATCATTTTAACAGCTTCTAGAGCATATGGAACAGTGTCAAGACACAAATGGCATAACATAATGCTTTTAAATCATCCATACTTCAGAAAAAGTGTGTCTCAATTGTACAAGTACTAATCAAATTCTGAAACAGCTCTTGAGGAAGGCAATGCGCTTTTGCATGCGTCATAAATTACAGACCTTAAAAAAATGAAACTGCTTACTTGTAATATCAACCTCAGCATTTGCAAGTGGAGGCAGGTTAGGTGAGGAAAAGGCATCAAAACTCCCAGCATCCACCTTAGTCACCCTATTTCCCCTGTATAGTTTATTATAAAAATACAGGCACACCTACAAGAAAAAATAAAGAAACATGTCTGTGTAGAAGCCAGTAATTAAAGATATAAACAGATACTGTTGTCTGCATCTTTTAAAATGTTTTCTAAATCTTTAAAGTAATGAGACGTATTTAGAGATTGGCAGATTTACAACTCTTATACTTTAAAAAAAATCAGTCTATGGATTGTTCTTTAACTCTTAAAAGTTAAAAGTTTAACTAGTTACAAAATTCCCCTCACAAAAGCCTGCAAAATCTAGGAGAGACAGTGAAGTCTGATTCATTGGAGGGTTTTTGATTAACAAAGTGGAGGTGAAGAGAGGAAAAGAGGGGATTTTTAAAGAGCTGTCATAAGCATCTGAAATTCGAAGTCCAATGGCTGTTTGGAGGCCTACAAAAAATGGTTAAGAGGTTCCAAGGAGACTAGTGATTATATGTATATTATTTTTGTGTGCCAAACTTAAGATGCCTAAAAGGCATCAGGGAACTCAATGCTTAGAGAAAAGTCAGTCTACTTCAAAGATGTCTCAAACTGAATGCCATAAATATTAAGGCATTAAAAATTACTATTCACTTCGGAAAATCTTGGTCAATAAGTTGCTGGCCTTAATTCACAAACAACTGGCAGTGTCAGTTGGGGCAGACTGAACAAGGGTGAAAAATGAACTACTTTCTCAGCTTTATGGGTGGGTTCTTCAGATCCTATTTCAGACATATTAATAAGTCCACATGGGGAAGCTTTCAAAGCTGCTGAGTATGCTCTCCTTTAACATAATAGGCTCTACAGTCTTTATATCGACAAAAAAATTCACTAGTACTAAAATTCTCTTTAGTTTGAACTATTCCCACCATGACCACCTCCCCACACACTTTTTTATTTGAATCCTGAGCACAGTGTACAAATGAGAATGTTTGATTTCAGTATGCCAGAGACCTGTCAAGTCTATACAATATTTTAAAAACATACTGTAAGTTAAGCCTGACAGTGCACTGTGTCAGATGAGAATCTGTTGACCTTGACAGGATCCCTCTAAAGATTAATGCACATTCCTTGTTGGTTAACAAATATATTTTAAAAGTGTAAACATTTGGTTTTACTAGATACAGGGAATTCTGATGCTAGAGAAACAGACCTCAGGAATTACAAACTGCCCAGCAATCAGCAGTGCCCCCAGCAGGTTGGCTCGACCATCATTCCGCAATTCATATATGGGCACCTAAAAAGAAGAGACTGCAATTATACCCTTTTTCTTATATATACACACAGCAAAAGAGAATCCAGCTCATGCAATACAAATAAAGTATCAATACATGAATAATTTATGTAATAATCAAGGTAATCTCCAATTATACCATCTACAGTGAATAAGATTTACTTCTTCATCCAAACTATTTTAGACAGAAGCAGATGGTGGAATTTCTCCCTCTGAATATAAAACAATTTTTTTTCAGAAAATATATCATTGGGTTTTTTCATATTTTTCCTCTTATTGTAATAACTATATTTAAAAAAATCTCATTAAAGAGATTATTCTGGTCTGATTAAGCAACTGCGTATTTTCTTTCAGAAGTGAAACCCAGTTTAGCAACAATATTGAGAACAGAAAGTATGTGTGTTCAATTCTTCAATGAGGAAGCATGAAGGAAAAAAATTGTACAGAGAGTAAGATGAGCAATAGCCTCACTTAATTCCAAGTTACCCAGAGCATCATCTGAGGACATCATTTGCCCTACTCTTCCTGGCTGGATATAAAAGGTGAACCACTATAGACAGATCAGGACAAGGCTAAATATAGAGAGCCAGTATGGTTACTTAAAGGATGATGACTTCCAAGTCTTTTTAGACTGAATCTTTATTAGCAAAATCATCCCCAATGTCTGAGCTCCTTTAAACAATGCAAAAGTTTAAGATTGCATGCTCTGCTGCTGGTTCATGTGCCAGGCAGTTCTCTAAACAACACTACAATAAAAAGAGTAAATTCCATAGTGGATTTTTAAAATATACACTGCAGGCAGCTAACCCTATTGACGCCACACAAGTTAGAGACTGTGACCTGGATTCTATTCTTTCATTGACATCATCCAAATTCTTTACTAAGTTCCAGGATGATGTAGATGAATAAATTTGCATGCCAACTGCAAAGTTAGGCAGAAGCCATCCCATTTCTATACCATGTTAGACACACTGTGGCTAATGAAACACATCCATCCTGTTCTGGCAATCATAAAAGAGTTCAAAATGGGAACAAACTGTATTGAACAAATTAAGTTCAATGTTCCCCAAAGCAAGGAGATTGATGATGGCTCCACTCAGATACAAAAATAATCCATACACAACAACCCAGGCAGGATAATAATTGATAAAGGGATCTGAGCCTCCATGCTCCTGGGTTTAAATAAACCACTAATAGCCTGGGGTTAGGAAGAGGTTTTGTGTATAAAGAGATTATTACACCATAGGATTTATTGCACTTTCCTCAGACACATCCAGTACTAGCCACTGTTGGCAACTGGACTAGAACCACTACTGGTGTGATTTAATACAATAATTCTTATGTTTCTAGAATCACTAGTAATAAAAAACTTGGAGCAAATCCTCAGCTGGCATGAACTGCCATTGGCCTGTTGAAATCAACAAAAACTGGCAATTTATATCAGCTGAGAATCTGCCCCTGCACATCTAAAGCATGCAGCATTAATCAATATACTATGCAATATACATACAAACACACTGTATTTTACCTCAGCATAAAATTAAGATTTACCTGAGATCCTGTCAGAACAATGGTTTTACCCAGGTTCTCACACATGAAGGATAAAGCCGAAGCTGTATATGCCATTGTGTCTGTGCCATGAAGGATCACAAAACCATCGTATTGTTCATAGTATTGCTGGAGATGGAAAGATATTTTTTACAGTAAGCAGAATTAGAACCAATGCTGTGCTGGTATTGACATAGGTCAAACATATTTCTTTACTACTTCTACTGTAGGGTGATAGTTTTAAAGGCTA